TATAAATATTAAATTATACCAGAAGTAAGAAGCTGAATGAAATATTAAATTTTGTTGTATATCTCTTCTCTCAATACACGTTTCATGAAACCCAACGCGATGGATAAATTTCAACAAACGAATGACAGAAGTGAGATGCATATTCCTCTATACCCCCTTAAATTTTGCCAATCTGCATAAAATACCTTCAAAATATCTGCTTTTGCTTGCACATGTATATTTTTATGTTCTTTCCTCTTATCTGCTTATCAAGTATATGCACATTCATATCTTTCAATACACAAATCAAACTTAAAGAGAAAGCTTACGTAGTTAATCAAACTCATTTTAAGATATGAGAAAAGTTCTTCCCTCGCATATAAGTCCTGGATTATGCTACTAATAAAATACATTTCCAAGTTAGCACAAACTTAGCTGCACCAACTACTTGTATAAGAAATTCTTTATTAAACTGTATTAATGTATTCTTGGAACTTATCACGTTGGAACAGAAGTCAGTACAGTAGATCGTGTTCAACTGTACAACTGAGAAATGGCATGCAGTAAGTTTGACGGAGATGCAGTCTTCATTATTACTACCACAGGGAACTGCCTCATCTAAATAGAGGCAAAGTAATACTTAAACATGCCATAATATCAGATCCTACAGATTCTTTCTCAATTTTTTTATGGAACATCACAAACTTGGCTAATTTTTATGTGACTATTTAATTTCAATATTTAAGAGATTCTTCCCAATAATACAAACATTCTGCAACATGCGGTAACAGGGAATGCTAAAAACAAACTTTACTAACAATGAGACTGGTCCTGTTTGGCAATGAAAATCGTATGTAACGGTTGGTGTTGAAACTAAAATCAATTTTCCAGAAGAGCAGGACATTGAAATGTGGGACATTTCACGTCATTTCAGACTGGTTTCTTAAAAAACTAAATGGGCTAATAACAATAAAGGTCCACGAATCCATATTAATACAATTAAAAATGCACATAGCCCTCTTTGGTTTCAATGCACAAGAAACAAAGAAAAAAGTGTATTTACAAAACTTCTTTTAAAATCTGATTTTATCTTGACTGATGACTGGTAAAGCTGTAGAATGTATAAACACAGAAATATACGTTGTTTATCACTTATAAAAAAAATCACCATGATGACACAATGACATGTCGCCACTGCAGCTGGTCTGTACCAGTCATCTGCCTGTCAGATATGCAATATTATGGGTTAGGGAACACAAAATATTCACGTAATCTGAAACATTCATCATTGCACCATTTAGAAAGGCAAAAGGCTTGTCTTCCGTCACTTTGTGCCAATACACGAAACACTGAGTCACTTACAAGAATGCTGAAGGTGGCAGTTTGAGAAAACATAACAACGTGAATTTGTTCACACGGCAGACACCTGTGCATCTTCATCATCTGAAAAACATAAAAAAAATTAAAATCAATGGAACCGTGCTGTAATATAAAGTGGCTGAGCCTTATATAATTTAATAATTTCCAAATCTAAATGTTTCCAAGCAAATAATTGTCCCTTTTTCATGGATAGAAAGAAGTCCTGTCTCCTATGCTGAGGCCACAGAAGCATTATGCTTACCATCTTCTTCAGGGTCAGTGTGATAATATCCACCAGTGACACCTTCGTGCGAATGTGCCCTTCCTATCCTCTGAAGTTGTGCCACTTGTGCTGCTACTGTGTATGCAGGAGGATGGCGGGGGCGAGGGGGTGCATCCCTTGGAGGTGGCATCACACAACCTGCAAACCCATCCACTACTGTAATTTGTTAAATTCTTGCAAGCTTTGTTCTAAATAAGCAGTTCACATGCATGCTTCATTCAACACACATAAACATAGCACAAATCATTCACAATTGCTTGAAACTGTACATGGGACAATATTTTATGTACAGTACAAGCCATTCAAACACTATGAATTAAACTGTCTTTTATTTCTGGAATTTATCTGAGACAAAGTCACAAGCAGGAAAGAATTAATCCAAAACATCAACAAAATATGTACAGAATACTATAATAAACTATGGGGGAAAAGTGTAAAAATGAAAGAATTTTAATAAAAGGAAGAAATGAAACCATGAATGTAACAGCAATGTACAGATGTGGCATAAATTTTGGCTTAATACATTAAGTAATTCAGGTATGTACAATGCACTACTGATATCTACATGTTAGCAGCTGCGTCAAACCTAGAATTCCTTAAAATATTAGTACAGCGACAGTCTAATAAGAAATATGTGCATATAAAAACATGAGAAAATTTCTTCGCAATAATTCCAATAATGAGAAACAAGAGACACTTTCAAAATTATTTTTTTAAATTCAGTACAGATTATATTTCTAAACAAGCTAATACATATTAAACAAAGAGTGTAATTAATTTAGTGATGTACTATCCAGCACTCTCAGTTATATGAAACATTCCTGCAACAAGACATTAGTTGTGATTACCTACAATTAACAGAAATGCCCATGTCAAGCAACAATACACACTACCACCACCATTACACAACTTACCATAAGGTGGGATAGGTGGCAGCACTGGCACTGCATGCGGAAAGTGTGGCCAAGGCCAACTGGGAGGAGAGGGCGCTACTGCAACAACAGACAGATAGACAGACAGAGAGATGAGATGCAGCAAGCAGCCACCAGAGAGCTTATGTGATGACCTCATGCTACTATAAGCCCATGTACAAACATGCATTTTTGATAACAGCTGTACACTCCCTGAACACAAACACAGTTTGAGCTACATAAACCCCAACACAATAATTTCAGGTAGGTCATCTGCATCTCAATAACAACATCTGTACCAACGTCCATACTAACACATACTATACAAAAATAATTAATATAATAATTCAAAAGTTCAAATACTGTACATAATTATTACCATCATCAAGTTTTCACATTCATGTTCAAACTAAGTAATGTGGTCAAAGTAACCCTAAGGACCAAGGTTGTGATAATGAGCTCGCCGGTGTGGTCTATCGTAAAGCTCACTCTGGCAATAAAAGGACATGGAACTTGGAAAAACTGAAGCACTAGGAGAAAAGCTTACCCCTCACATTTCCACGTGGATTGTCCTAAAATTAAACCCAGGCCTCTGTCATGAGAAGCCAGGAACTAACCATCCGGGTTATTGCATGGTTTTACTCATGAAACTTTAGAGAAATACAGGTTTTAGTATGGTCTGGTGGGGAGACATCCTGAAATACAAATCCAGTAATGTAAGGATATGCTTCCTTTCAAAGCATGACAACCTTTTACTATACCAAATTATTTATTTATTTCTGATATATTTAACAAAACCATCAGTAGTTCAAACTACATAGCTTCAGATGATAGGACAAACACTGAAATGGAAAGGATATGGAAAGAATCAGTTGTGGTATAATTTAGGGCAAGGTTTTAGGTTCTCATAGCAGTGATAATGGAGGCAGTAAGCTCCTCTGAAACATCAGTCAAAATCTACCAGACTACATTGTGCAACATCCCAGAATAGAGCCATCTTCATAATTTAAGGCACTATCCCAAAAACTGCCTGGAACAGCTGAGGAAAACCACAAACACCCTCAGTCAAGATAGCTGCTCTCCAAGCCTAGATTTGAACTCAGAACCTCCTAAATATGAACTACATATATAAATGACACCTTCCTCTCTGCTTTCTGGTTCACTGAAAATAAACTATTGTTTCTATTGCTGTTTAATCCTTTATCTCTAATTTCCATACAACGATGACCATTTCTGGTTTGTGATGTCATGTAGTCCACATAGCATCATAACCCAAAAGACCAAGACTGACATCTTCACTGCCAGGAGAACCTCAATTTAAATCAATGTTTATTAATGGTGGGATTCTGAATTCTGTACTCCGGGCCATGAAGTTTCATCATTTCCAAAAAAATTACTACGGCATCAAGGGTTAAAACAATATTTCCATTAATTTATAACTAACAATGAACTAAATAAAATGTATCATCCTTAAGGTAATTGTTTCCATAAATCTTTAACACATTAACAGCAATCCTCTTGCCAGAAAACAAGCAACAGCATAATGCATGACCTTTTCCAACGGGACACGCATGCACTCACAAGGACAGGCATGCTATCACTACATAATCCACAACTTCAGCTCCCATAATTCCTTACAAAACACCTCCTCACATGACAACCTACAGAAACAGGACAATTACAAACTACTGCAATTTCATTAAATAAAACTGTTACTCAGCCTAATTAATTCAAGTCTAAGATTTAAAATGATAATTTATGTCCTGAAATTCATTTGAAGTCAACACAGATTTTTATGTTTTGTTTTTAAAATATGTTACAACCCATGGAGTTGTAAATATGACAAATAAAAGAGGTAAGAAGTTGGTATATGACAAAACCTCAGTGTTGAATAAATATGTTCTGTGTGAAAAGTACTTCCATAATTATAAAAATTAAAATATCTGATGCTCATCCATTTCTGTATATGTACCTTGGCCCTTAAGTAAAACAAAGAATTCTGAAATAATTTTTTGTGGAAGCTTATCTGGTAATTTAATGTTTTTACATCAAGGCAAGCTAACTGATTATCACTTGCAGTCATTCATAATTCTGCTTGCAAGATACAATTTACAATTTTTTTTATAATTGTAATATTATAATAAGATTATTCATTACACAACTTTTCATATGGCATCGATGTGACTGATTTTTATACTTAATAGAGATAATTTTTATTATGCTTGGTGCTTTTAGATTCATTCAAAGAGGTCATGCCCATGAAAAGCTATTTATTAAACCAAATTAGAAGAATATGTTTTATTTACGTTACGAGAACAAAATCTTGTGAACAAGCATTATTTGAACATGACAGTTAATTTTAGTGTTACCAAAGGTATGCCACTGCATCTCACCAGAACAAATTAACACTTCAAAAACCAGAATTTTTTAAGTAATTTTTACCGCGCTGTTCACTGGAAACATTACAGCTAACCCACACACACACCACACTCTCATTATTGACTGGCTGGCTGGCCTTACCCTGCATAACGGAGTGTCGTCTGTGCTGTGAGGGTGGGGAGCAGCCCCCCTGATTGGGCCCAGCAGCAACCTCCACCGAGCTGTTGGAATGCGAGTCAAGCTGCGTGGAGTGACCGGAGTCACTGGAAGTCACTGAACCTAGCAAACCAACCAATACCAGCCACAAATAGACTCATTCCTACCACCCTGCACCCAATACAGTTGTAAGGAAGGTATAAGAATTCTGATTCTTATGTAATTCTCCACAGATGACTGTCTTAAGTTCTACTATTTTACTCAGCGGAGTCTTTAGTGTCTCTTAAGCTCGGCACAGATCATACTGAATGAGGGGTTAAGATCATGTAATGATTTGGTGTATCAGAATACTGTTGAACACTAAGTGTAGATGAAAAGGGAGAGAACAAAAAAGGGGAATTGATAAACATGTGGACAGTGAAGAATTGGTCATTCCTCATATATGGACTACTGAATTACTCCTTTTCAAAAAGGTCTTCCAATGGGTAAGAAAATTATTCTTTGGGACATCCTGTCACATAACAAGGAGGAAGATATGATTGTGCAAAGGATTTTCCTTGTGCACCAGGATACAGTGAATATTGGTATATCACTCTTTCTACATCCTTTTTTCCTTTTTAAAACACCACGAAGGTTTGAAATTTACTGCAAAAATTCCTGGATTTTTATAAATCTTGTAGTAAATAATTTTCAACAGTTCACTGTAACAGAATACTTATTACAACCCATTTCTGGGAGAAACATTAATTTCTTAATTTTATACTTATCTATATCTTTAAATATCTCCTTATAAAAATGATTCATTCATTTGTTTATGCATTGGGATCAAATCCATTTGAAAGGACAAGCATATGTGATCCCTGAACAAAACACAATGTATGGCAAACACATAAGCAGCATCAAATAATGTAAACTAAACACTAATGTGCATCATACTATATGCAGTCAGTCGCAAATCATACAAGCCAAAATATTATGTTAGGTGCAATGTTCATCATTACCCTTCATGCCACAGACTCAAACAGACTCGGTCAATAGTAACTAAAAGCATTTTCTGAAAGAAGTGGAAAAAAAGAGTGCAGGGGCATGCACTCAAATTGATATGCTGGACGTCTATAAACTACACATAACCTCAAACCAAAACCCCTTATCCTCCTGATTTATGTAGGAACTAAATCAAACTGAAATGAACAGAAAATACAAAGAATAGGATGTGAAAAAACTAAAATGTTATATTCTATACATGGGGTATACTTTGCATGGTCATAGTTATACCTAGAGTCAAAAAGGAATGCGGCTAATAATACTGTGCACCTAAAATTCAGACAGTTTTATGTACTGTTTGCTTTTAAAATCATCTTGCAAGTCGAAAGAAAAACAAGACATGAATGATGATGAAGAAAATGAAATGGGCCAGACAATCACAAGTACATTTAAGCTTCAGACACATATTGATGTAAAGTCTCTATGTCCAAACCCAGATACGTCTAATACACTGGACAAAATTCATTATGTACGTCAGCACTAGAAATAAACTCATGTTTCTTCCATGCAGGCTTATTTGGTTGCAGATTAAATTCATACGCATATATTCACACAAAAGTAAAAGAAGACAAAGATATTTCTGACCAGGATTTTGCCAGGCTGTTGTTAAGAAAATATAGACACCTTCACGCTTCGTTAAGATCTAAGTAATATTATTTCCCCATCTATGTCTAGGTCTCTCAAGTTCTCTCTTCCATTAACTCAAAATTTTGGTCAATAACTGAATTCTACCAGGAAAAGAGGTCACTGTTACCTACAGGCAGGAAAATCACAACTAACAGAAGGCAATCCAAGTAAAGGAACATGTATCAATAAAGCATTTCAATTAATTACATAATGCATTAACATTTATTGATCCAACAGCGACAAAACTCAGAACACAATGAGTTCAAAACAAAGAAAATTATTTTCCAAATGACATAAAGAAATTGAAGTTCTGTTTGTCTTCATAATTAACCTTCATCTTGATTAATTAAAATTCTTTTATGGAACACATAAAATGGAAGCTTCTAAAATAACAATTTGGAACTGATGACTGAATCTACTGGATAGTAAATGACAAGGTACAACTGAAGAAAACTGCAATAGTTAATTGTGAGTGTAACAGAGCCCATAAAGGACTGAAACATGTCAGGCAATAATTAGTACCACAAAAATGTGTTTTCGGAGAGAAGAATGCTAGTATAATATCAAGTCTGAACACATTCTATGTTGGATCCATAAAATCAATATGAAGGAAAAATCTAACCCATGTTAAGTATTTCTTCTTATAAGTTTTGACTAAGAAATTTTGTTCTTATAAACTGCATGGTTTTAATACACATGTTCCTTTTCTTCTGGTGTGTGAGACACTGAGAAGAATATTTAAAATCAAAGGTAAAAGAAATGAGGAGTTGTCCATACCCGAAGTCAGGGTCTTGCGCAGTGGGAGGTTGCTCAACGACGTCACACTACTGCTCTCTGCACTCAGATCCACCGAAGGAAGCGGAAGTGTCGGTGTATCAGAATGGGACCGCTCATGCAGTGCCCTGCCACCTGCCCCATGATGCTCCCTGGTAGTAACACCTGGTACCACTGCACTACTGCACACACGACGATGTGAGCTAGGAGATGGGGAAGGAGAGAGGGCTGGGTGGTGATGTGGTAAGTGGGCTAACCCTGGTATGGGCAGTGGCGGTTGGGGAGGATGTCGTGGTTGATGGGGCCGTGTCTTGTTGGGCTCACTAAGTGCAAGCATCTTACGCACTGCCTGCGGTGATGCAGCTCCTGGTAAACATAACATAACATCAAGATGCAGTATTTCCCCACATCTCGAACTTACACCCTTCAAAATGATGTAATAGCGATAACTACAAATCTTACAATTTTTTAACAACTTCTGTGCCATGGCTCAATTATATAAATCTGTACAGAATATAACATGCCTGTTAAATGCCACAAATATAACTCACCGAACTTGGTGCCAGCAATTCCCCTCTTCCCCTCACTAGCACTACTGGTACTGCTTGTTGTGGAGAGCGTTGGTGAGGGATGACGTTTCCTCATGGGAACTGAGTTGGGTGCACTGCCCGACGGCTCGCACTCTAGTGACAAGCTGTGAAGTTTGTCTTCATCTGTTATCACACGCATGTTGTTCAGGTATGCCTTCACACGACGAACCATTTGTGCCTGGATTTAAACATGACAAATGATTATCTGTTCAAGTCAGAATTAAATTTATTCCTAATGTTTTATGTGATCTAGGAACAAAGTGGATGTATAACAGGAGGCTATACCTGTCGAAACCAACTGAATGAATTCTGATTAATTTTTCAACTATTCAGAAGTTTCAACAGGCTTTAGCCTAATCCACAAAGATCAGAAGAATGCGCTTAATACAACAAAAATATTGCAATACCTCTTCAAACATCTTCTTGGGGTTTGGCTGTGCTGTTGATTTCTTCCGTCTCTTAACAGTCGCTGCACCTTGTGGTCCTCCAACTCCACTACCCACGGTCAGCTGATTCAGTGCCACCATGGCATTTGATGGGGGTTGTCCAGCTGCATGAAATAAAAAGTTATTTATGTGGTTTTGTTTCTTGGTGAGTGAAAACAGCTGACAGAAGTGTACAGAATATCTTACCTAGGCCCAGCATGGTGAGGAGATCATATGGCGAGGAGCACATGTTGGTAAGCGCACGCACTTCCTTAGCAATCATCCGCAGCTTTTCAAAGTTAATTAGACCTTCTATTTTTGAATCATTTCCCAGGTGAATGAATGTCAGATCTTTCTTCACAACTGGATAGAATGGAATCTGTAAGGAAAACTCAGATAATAAAGCAACAAATAAACATAAGTACTGGCACTGACATGGACAACAACAAATTCCTTTGTGAAGTTCAAAAGTTGGGGAGACCAAAAGAAAAGTCTATCTGGCAGCCCCATTGTGTGGGGATTTAAATCTCCATTTCCATACAATAAATGTTAGATAGATATAAAACACCAGCCATAATTTCAGCAAGAGTTTATTTTAAATGTTGAAATCTACAAATAAATGTGAAAGAAAGTACAACTTACAATAGGTGGCTGCGATTGCTCTGAGCTCACCAGCTGACGGTACTTGCTCATGTTACGAGATGGATCCATGAGATCTTGCAGGTCACTGAACAACCGCTGATATTTGCTTGGTAACTTCTCCCAAGATAATCGCAGCCGAGACACTGCACCATGACCAAGACCCGAAACGATCGCAAACATCGAATTGAAGTTCTTGCATTCTTTACATTGCCCTAAACACAAACAGTACTTAAGTTGAATATATACCATCAAATGGGGAAGAAACATAAAGCATGTTGCACATTACTAATCTTAAAGTTAAAAACCCAAAAATCAGCTAAAAGCTGTAATGGAAACATGTTCCAAATCATGCACATATCAATATATTCATGTTTAAATAGTCCTCAGGTATATGTAATTCAAATAACATAAAATTTTGGGGGAGGGGGAAGGACCTTGTATCTAACTATTAAATGTGACTTAAATTTTTGGATTGGGAACATATTTAACAGAACAAATAATTTGTTCATGTCTCAAAGTAAAGTAGAAATCTAATATACCATTATCAATCAAAATATAATTTTCTCAGTAATTACATTTACAGATCACCATGTTGTTTTTGAAGTAATACGTGTACATTCTAATGCTAAGAAGAAAGAAAAAACAGCTTTCTTTACATTGATAATTGACAATAACATGCTTCCTTCATTTTTTGATCTACTTACGTGCTACTTTAATGAACTGTTTGATGATCTTTGATCTCCTGACTAGATTATGCTCGGAACAAACCTCCGTCACGACCCAAAACATTTCCCGATTCACCAACTGCAAGAATTTAAATGTTACAGATATTCAATATTTTCCATTTAATGTCACTATATAAATATTATAAGCATTAGTCCATTAGTGCACCACCTTTCAGGCTTCCACAGGTTTAGTCTCCATAGATTCTAATACAACTCAAGGGTAATTATAATGTGTCACTTCAAAAATTTCATGAAAGTAAAAATTATTCATCAGTTATCACTACTGCATTAAAACTTTGCATGTGGTGTTTTATGTTATGAATTCTCAGTTTTCAAAAACATCATCTTGACAAAAGTCAAATACTTTCCAAAGACCTAACACCAACGTTTTAATGCCCTACAATGGATGGATCCAATTATTCTCCCATGTCGAAGTCTGTGATGTTGATACTGCTGATGACAGTAGGTTACAATTTCCAAGATGCCAAGGAATCCAGTGGCATGATAGTCTCAATTATTGACTTTAGCAGTAACATCAATATCTGAATTAGGAAATAAGATGGACAGATCTTCAGCTCACAATCATATCTCTAGAAGAAAGAATGTAGCAATCGCCTGAGAGAGACAACCTACTCACCTCAGCAAACTGCGACAGCATTGGAACACCATACCGGCTCTTCAGTTCAAACAGATCGTCCACGTACTCGGTGCTTTCTATCTGGCGGAAAATGCTGAAGTCCTGAAGTGTCAGCTGAATTGCCACCTCAACTGCATTGAGCTGAAGGAAGTGCACTTGACTCTCTCGTACAAGTTCGGGTGCCATTTCATCTGGTACTAATGTTTCTGTTGTACCATTGGTCTTCAGATAATATCTGCAGTCAGCAGTACCCAACTAGGTTAGAATTCTACCCCTACTAAAACCACTACTTACAGATTAAACAGGCATAAAAATTCACTGTGAAGGAAGATATGCAAAACAGAGCTATGAAACAATAGGTACACACAGAAGAGGAATGGTTGTCGAAGTAGAAAAAAGAATGGAGAAGACACAGTCATATGAATACCCATCTCAATCGAAACGTTTGTTGACAATGTCGGAACAAGAGTTAAGATTTTAACAGTGACAGTCTTCTGGATACCGACATTTTGGGGAAAATGTTTCGTCCATATTCAAGGCTAATGTGTGGAAGGTTAGGAACATTGGCCAATTAGAGCCACAAGAGAAGGAGGTGAATCAAATCCAATAAGCATGATAAAGGGCCCTATTAAGGCTGCAATGGAGGAAGGTTGGATCAATACAAGGAGAATGATAAAGAAGTAGTCCCTTTAAGGGTCCCCCAGAAATAAAGCTCAGAATAAGTAAGTGTCTTGTTCTTGGAGAGTTGCTTCTTCCATTCTTTCAGTGTAAATAAGAAGCTTCCAAGAAGTACTCATGAAGAACTCATAATCTCTGTTCATGTTTGAATAAAGTTCATTCTCTATTGCTTCCCTGTTCCAATGACAAAGATAACAAAGGCAGTGGATAATCAAGATACAGGACATGTGTACCTACAGAGTATCTGCATGAAGAAATTCAGTTTACTGTAAAGCTAATCCAGTCAAACAGTTTTGGGCTGAAAAACTCACCGACTACTGAGTCCAATCCTCTCGGCCAAATTCTGGAGCTGGTCTGGCAATCTCCTCTGCTTAATAATGCCACCTTCAGCAACTGATACCTCACACAGAGAGAAGTGTGAACTAGGATCTGTGATTCCAAATTCCTGCAGCGCCAGCATTACGACTTCATGTGCTGTTGTCTCCTTATGCACCAGAAGGTATTTACAGGACTGGTCTGGTTTGTACACTTTGAGAACATGCTCTGGATAATCTGATGAGCGCAAATCATCGTAGAATGTGCTCATGAGGTCAGGGTTACTATGACTGTGAATGAGCATTGTCTGATGTGACGGCTGCACGTTTGTAAACGAGTTGTCCTCGGTGTGTACACCATCACTACAAACAAACAGTAAGTGGCTCATGACAATGAAGACACTGATGTTGGACTTCTGGGTCATAACACCATGTGCTTTTGTAGGCAGACACCTACATTTTGGAGAAACATACTGTCTCCACCTCCAGGACTGAAGATGGAGGCAGTAAGCACCTCAGAAACATCAGTAATTTATACCAGACTACACGATGCAACATACCAGAATACAGTCATCTACATAATCAGCACCATGAGACCCTGAGGTCTCAATAATCATTCTGTACACAGGAAAGATCTGTATCGTACACTATATATTTACTATGACTAACTCACTTGATGGTGTTCTTAGGAAGAATGTTAATCTTTTCGAGGGCTCTCCGCAACCTGTGCTTGGGACCAAGTGTCATAGAGCCCTTGTGACCATCCTTCTTTCCGCCTAAACCACCATTGGTCTCTTTGAGAGGAGATGAATTAAGTGGTGTCCCCAATTTGGTTGTAGCAGAGGGAGTGGTTGGTGTGTTGGAACAGTTGGAAATTGTTGGCATCACTGATAGATGCATTGGGTCCAATCTTGCACGGGGGTCGGACTGCAGTAATGGGATTTCAGAATTCTTGCGTATTCTGTTGCGAGGAGAATTCTCTGGTGTCTGCAGCATTTCCTTAAAAGCTGCAAACATGAGATTAACTATTAAAACAATTTATTCATTCCCGAATAATTTCGCTTCCCACTAACTCAGTGCTGAAGCCTTCATTTAAGAGCTGACTGTAGCTCAGTTGGTTTTAAAAATGACTTGCTTTTACGGAACATTAATGTAAATCACCTCATTCTAAAAAGTCTGCCACTGGACCCTGTAATGATCCATTTGAATCCAGTCCACATCACTGATCTCTGTTTTGCCAAGATCCAACCTCATATTATCCTCCCATTTATACTTACGTCTCATCAAGTTTTCGTAACCAAAACTGTGCTGACTGTATTCTCCCTGTACCTTACAAACTCATCCATAAGCTTCTGATATATTTTGGGTATGTTCTACACTGTGTTACTTCATATACGTAGGGCAGTCAAAAAGTTCCCGGAATTGTGGTATAGCACGGTAATGGTAGGACATATGGCAACGCTTACCTAATGTCCTACCATTACAGTGCTATACCACAATTCCAGGAACTTTTCGACTGCCCCTCGTACTATTCATAGTGTATTATACAAATAAGTATTTTGTCTCTATGATCTGTTTTCATCAGGACATTGCTTACATCATGGTAATCATAAAACATAGCCCGTCTTCTATCACATGGATGTAAATGACAGGAACAGTGATAATGGATTTCAATATGTGATCCTTCAGATACCAAACACACAAAATAATCACTCAAAACAATTCGGCAGCAGAGGAACTATCACAGCACTTACAAATATATCAGTGAGAGTGATATTTTATTCTATCCTCTGACTTACCAAGAAGGTTAGATTTGACAGTAATGCTGAGATGAGTAGTACCACGCAGAACCTCCAGAGCTTTCGGATGAGTTACGTGATCAAAGCTCTGACCGTTTACCTCCAAGATCTGATCGCCACGCTTCAGACCCACATCTTCTGCTTTTGATCTCTTTTCCACCTTCAAATATAAGCATTATTTTTCAGTATCATACACACATTCAATAATGTTTGTCATAAAAATCAAAAGATGCACAATTTATATATCCCCAAACCTGCAGTTTGTTGTCTTTACAGCAGAATAATTCAGCAGCAAAATACTTAATAATTATTAAATAAATTAATAAAGAATTTATTAAAAGTAAAATCTTGTCATTACTTTTGCTTTCTACTGGTAATTGATTTCACTGTAGAATGTGTCTATTATGACTTAAACATACTACATAACAATTAACAGAACTGTAATAGCATGCATACATATATCTATCTTAATGAAACTGATTTGAGCCCCACCTTGGATATGAAAATGCCAAATCCCCTTTCATAACCACCAAGGATGGAAAAACGGAGGACCTCATCACGTGACGGCCTTGCAAGCGTTACATTACGTGTTCGGGCCTTTGCTGCACAAGCGATGTTGAGGAGACGCAGCTGTCCTTGCATTTTCTCTCGTTCCAGACCCATCTCGAACGTTTCTAGAAACTCCATCATGACAGGATCTGTCTCAAAGTCTGTAAAGTGGTTGTTCACCCAGAGTAACACCACTCTCGTCACCCTATCACGCACAACTGCCTCATTGAACCTGCAGCACAACGAACACATTAAAACTAAATAAACAACCTATTTCGTGGTAAAGAAATTTCCATCCTCCTAACTACGAATAGGCCTCCAATGTGGCCTCTAAATATCCTAAAAAACTGAAAGTAAAAAGCATCACAAAATATTAGGATGAAGCCAACAGCTTGATTTTTTACAAAAGCACAGATTCTGTTGCTCCGTCTTGAGCCCTCATTTCACTTACCACTGCAGCAGCTGGTCAGCTACATGAACCGAACTGTTAATGAAGGTGCGGTGTGTTAAAAGGAAGTCCTCAACGTACGTTGGATCAATAATTGAGTTCTCCTCTATCAGCTGAAGCATTAACCTGTCTGCTGTCCCCTGAAAATTATAATTACCATTACAAACTTCAACACGCGCATCATTTATAAATAATAAACTATCATATTTTTTCGGATATAACAAAGTTTATCCATAACTCAGCATATGAAACATGAGGGGTAATCTTAATCCTATTCTGTGATTCATGCATATTCGCTGTATGACAGCATACTGTAGTCTCCGAACAAAAGCAAACAAGAATTCATTGTTAATGAATGGCATCTCCCACACTATACAAGTACTTTATTTCAGGACTATGTTAAATATAAACATTTTGAATGAAACTAACTGGAAAAATCAGACTTTGAATTATAACTGGAAAATTGTCTGACTATTTACTTATTCGATAATGATAATTCGACTGCACTGGTAACTGAGCACTATTTAAAGTCGATGATTCTAAAATCATGATTTTTTTTTCATTTCTCTTTATCCTCTTTTACCCATAGGTGTCGAGGTTTATTTATTAATTTTATTGATCTGTTTGGAAAATGGTAGGACTCCTTGGATGAGTGATTAGCCTGACGCAAGGCCTCTACCTATACAAACGCAAAAAGATGCAGACAAATATCCATGCCTTGAGTGGGACTCGAACCCACGGTCCCAGCAGCCAGGCAGCGACAAGGTCCGTGCCTCAGACCGCGTGGCCACAGCGGCCGGCATCATGAATTTGAAAGGAAGCAGCTATGGCCTATATTTTAACCTTCTACCCATGTATGTATGGTGCTCTCAGCCTCAATCTAATCATGTAGTTAAATTGTAAGCAGCTATTACTATGTTTTCTTATGCTGAACAGGCAGGACCTTCCAATTTTACTATGTTCTACATAGTAGGATCAAGGGTTAAGATACTAGGAGAATGTTTACTGCATGGCAGTGGAAAAATCATAAAAAAATCTTGTTAATTGTAAAAAATGTTGCTGTCAATGTAAGTGTCATCCATTTGGGCCACCCTTCATGTACGTAAATAAAGTAACGCCACAGTACAAGGGTTTTACCATGTAATAAAATCAAAAGATGTCACTGTTCATATGTCTCATTTCAGGGTTACCACAGCTTACCCTGATGACAACATGTCCTCGACGTCCGCCTCCCTCGAGGGAGCCCCTCTGTTCTGTGACCAAGACAACGCGTCCATCCTCTTCATGCCTCCTTATGTTCTCTTCGCCCTGATGCTGTATGCGATAGTAGTCTGTCTGCGTAATACACACAAACTGACAATCGTCGCAGCGCGTTCGCATCACACCTCGATGGTAAAGTTTATCCATAGTGGGGAGGATCCCAAAGCTGTCTCCAACCTGCAGCTGCTCCGTCTCACCATTCACGTGCTCCACCTCAACGTGACCGTTGATTAGCACTGACCACGAGTCCAACTCCTCTCCATCGTTCATCACAACAGTGCCTGCCTTCTCCACCACCGCAAACACCATCACGCTACACAACGCTCTCCGAACAGCCAGCGTCATGTTTGTAAATGCCTTCAAGTGCTGTGTGAATTCTAGCAATGTCTCTACATCATCTTCTGTCCTTTCTGACGGGTCTTTCTCCAGACATTCTCGAATTGTGTCTCGTACTGTTAAGCTCTGTAAAGTGATCAAATTCAGCATCATAATAGCTTCTAGCTTGAATAATTACAAGAACTCAATGTAATCAATAAAAACTTAAATGGAAAACGTGATATAATTTAATATTAAATTAACAATATTAAACTTTTAAGCTCTCAATGTACAGAACTTGATAATTAGTTTATCTCTTACATCCATGCTTTCTGCAAGGTCTTCTTCTTCATCCGAATCAACAATGGACTCTATGAGCCCAGAGAGGTCAACCTCGTCCGCATCCAGTGAACTCTGCACACTTGCCATTGTGTCGGAACCACTGTACGCTGAGCTCGTGTCTGACGAGTGAGAAGATCGGTTTGATTTCACGTATAATTCTGGTCGTCCTGTCAGTGCTGGTGAAAACTGCTGTAAAGAGCAAGTAATATTAACATATAAATTAAAGTGTTGCTTTCGAGAAAATAGTTTGAGGGAGAAATCTCACAACACAGACTGACATAAAACTAGTAATTGAAAAACCACACATTAATTTTCTTATTTTCTGCTGCTTATGCAATATCTTCATATAACAAACTCCTTGAAGCTCAGTATTTATGAGAAACCAACAATAACTCAGGTAGTTAGGAAATTCTCCGACTTTTACGGAACCAAGAGATTCAGTACCATGTTTACAATAGTCTTGCACTAGATCATCGGTATCCTAAGTTAGAGGAATCCAATCAACAATCTAACACCCTACTTAATAATGTGCTAATAATTTTAATTAATTATTACATTTTATCCAGCCACACATGTTGATATAGCATGTTAATTAGCACAATCAATCCACATACTGATGAACACGCAGAACGAAATTAAAGATTAATAATTACCGTGTCCTCAAAAACCAGGTTAACATTTGAACGATCCATGCCGCCTGATGTGACAGATCCCCGTCCTCCACCACTGACACCAACCCCTCGACCACCTTGCGCTTCAGGGTAGTCAATCTACAAAAAACAAAACAGGGCAGGATGCATCACTATCAAACACAAAGTGATATCAGTTACTTCCTACACCCACTGTCCCCTTCCTTTGGTAGAGGTGGCAGAATGGCAGAGTGCGATGTGTCGAGTGACTCGCAGATAATTAATAATGCCACCAGATTCAATTATTTTTCATATCAAATACAGTGTCTAGGTCAGTATTTATAGAATGTCGGACTTTATATTATCACGGTTAAATATTTATTAAGAATACACAACTTATACAAGGGTTAACAACTAACATTTAAGACAGAATATTTCTGAATCAAGTGTATTTTTCTGTTGACCTGTGTTGCAAGAGGTCCTGTGACCATAAAATTCATCATCCAACCAGTACAGTCACTTGTCAGAGTACTAATCAAACAATCAACAGACGAAGAAAATGATTGAACTGGGCTTATCAGCAAAAGAAACATTCGGACAGGTACGTTGATCTCATGCACTCTGCGCGTAACAATTAACAGAAAGGCAAGTCAATCCTGGAACCCTTCATGTGATGAGGTCAGCTTCAGGTCACAGAGTGAACAAGCTAACGAACACACGAAATGATGCAGCTATTGTCTGTCAAATTTACCTTGACTACAGAAGTCATGGCAGGAGAAAATCCGTTCTGAGAGAGTACTGGCTAGCGGCTAGGGGTCGTGAAAATTTTAGCAACTGAGTTTAAGCATCGTGCACAATCGAAAGTCACAGCAAAGGTTACGTACGCAATGAAAATCGCGAGAAAATGTTCTACAGGCACAACTTGAAACGAAACAAAGCAAGTGTGTTGACAGTCCCGGACTGGCTAACCTGAGATTCTGGAATGTCAACCCCTACTCCGCAGGCCAATGCTATATCGTCTCTCTCCTAATTACGCCTGCGCGAACAGACTACGACCTACGTAAGCCTCAACTCGGTGGTTAACAAAGCGTCATATCTGACCGGTTCCAGAGTGTGGAGTACCACGGAACAAGAAGTAAGACTTTAGATTTTCAGTGTAAGCCGTGCTAACACGACTGATATTCGCGCTACACCACTGGTATGGGCCCAAATTTTATACTGTTAAAATGAACCAACATGAGTAAAAAAAATTATTCGGCTCACAAACTTACTTATTACTTAAATTACTCGACCTTGAAGCCATAACGTTATGCTAAATGCTGTCCCAAAAACATTACCCCTTACTAAAAATGTTTTGACTGTTGGGGCAATCTGTATAATATTTGATACTGTGGATATGTTACCAGTGTCCCGATGGAAAATTATACATAAAATATTAAATATATAAAAAAAGACGAATGAAACGAGACGCCAGGGAGCTATAAAACCAATTGAGAACTGAGTCAGCCGATGTTTTTCCCCCCGTGTATTAGAATGGCGGTGTACCTGTACAAATGGGTACCTCTGTTTGAAGTCAAGTCAATTCTCCGCCTAGACAGACAATACTTCTTCCTGTCGTGAGGTAATAACTAGTACAAAAAGTTGCAGACGAACAGTCTCAAAGGGATTCATCATGAAAGAAGTACAGGTTAGGTTAGGTTAGGTCAGGTCAATACGTTACGCCAAATAGCTATTGGACCTCTGTTTCGAGTCCGCAGAACAAACTGTCTCTTACTCTCTGACCGTCCGCATCTGACAGTTCAAATAGCTGGGATTCATCTTGTTATGTCAACATACTCTATACAGTATCGATCACTGGCATTTATTTGATGCTCAAAGAACAATCACTACAGAACGGTCTAATGAAAAACAAAGCTGAAATGAACTTCAGCCCCAATTTTCATTATCCGTATAATAAATTCATAAGCTGCAGCCGCCACACAGACACTGCAGTGTGCTTGATACTACTTACGTTGCTATGGCAACCATAGCATGGTGACACGGTTTTTATAGAAATAAAATACAGCAAAGAGGTGAAATGGGTATTTCAACGTACGTATATTCCTTTCTCCCTTCTGCATAATGGTCTTGCTCGGATTAAAGCGTAATCAAATTTCAAATCTTCCCTTTTCCCAGTACCGGGCTTGCAAGGATGGTTGCCTACCCTCATTTCCACTAATACAGACTTTATAGGAGGGCAGCATAGGGTAGTTTTCTACGGTGGAGGTTAAGAGTTGAACAGAATGTGTTGGAAAATGGACACGCAGCCTCCCTTCAACACACAAAACGTCCAATAACGTGCGTGAATAATATTTAAAATGAAATGAATTGGGCCTGGTTTAATTAGTCTAAATCCGAGTATGGCATTAAACGTAGCAAGGTTTCAAGAACGTAAGGGGGAAAACACCTACTAAATTGTTTTTGCTTTATGCCTGTTTTACCTAAGAAAATGAACCAAAAACAATGCAATTAATGTTTCTAAAAATTTGGGAAGTTTCTGCGAGGCACAACCTTCCAACAATAAAACTCGAATTAAGTGTAAAACTGCATTGTTCGGGCGATTGCTTGCTCCCGAGAATTTTATTTACTAGAGCAGGGCGCTCCTTTCGGAGCTCCTGGGGGGGGGGGGGGGGGT